GCGGGGGACGGGGAGGGGTCCCCCGCCCCAACCCCGCCCCGTTGCCATCCCTATGAATTATGATATTTTAATTATGTTTATCATTCCAGGTTTTATGTATAACTTTTAGGAAATTTGTTATTATCTCAACTTAAATTTAGTTATGTTGGTGAATGCATTTTACAAACTTATGTTATCAATAACCATGTTAAATTATACATTAGCCGTCAAGTTCAAGTGTAGAATAAAGACCTGTGAAGTACTTAACACTAAAGTTACAAAAAAAAAAAAAAAAAAGCAGAAAACAAGTCAACGGCTGGTTGGACCGGTCGGACAACGAACCGGTCCCTCTCCAGTTCGCTGGCGGGTCCGAGTTTAAAAACATTGGTGCTATAACGACTACTTTTTGTTTGTCTCAACCAAGATGGATTTTGCGAGGAACTTGGAAATTTACCACAGGTCCACAACCCATTAGTGCAATTTGCTCCCTCGTTTTCACCGATTTCGTTCCCTCCTTCGCAGCACCGCCGTCGCTCCCATTCCCGTCAGTTCTAGTCAACTAAACCATTCTCTCTCTCTAAATCCTCCTAAAAATTTACCCAACCCAGAATCCCAGATCGAGCGAGGATGAATTTAGCCGGCAAGTGATCGGAGGTAAATCTTCATCTTTTTCTTGCTGATATCTTCGTCTTTGTTTCCTTGTGCGCTTAAATTGTTTGATAATTAGGAGGGAACGGGTCTGTGTCTGTTTCTGGTTCTAGGTTTTTGAGTTTCCAATCAATATTCGTTAAATCAAAGCTTTTGTGCAGGCTAATTAACTTGAATTATTGGGGTTATTGCATTTCATTTGCCTGTGGCTAGCTGCTGTGAAGACTAGGAGTTGTAGGTCTTTTGGTTGTAATGCTAATATTTCTTGCTTACTGATCGTTGAAGTTGCAGCAGCTTGCGCATGATTGTGTGGGTTGGAGGGGATGGGTTGGGTCTCGCAAATGAACTGAATTTCTGGTCTAGTAGCAAGTTAGAAGAGCATTTCTGTAGAAAACACTGATTTTCCTGTCGAATTCTATTGCGCGAGGATACATTATAGTCTTTCTTACATCATTATGCCTGTGGGCTGTGGTGTAGTGGGATATTGTTTCTTATCTCTTGCCGCCCTTTCTCAGATTTTCCGTTAATTCTCTGCTTCTTCTAACAAGAAAAGGCTCAGAGGCATTTCACTGCCAATTTTCCCTATTTTTTCTTCGTTCTTTCCCCTCATTTACTTGTGGAATATTCTTATTCAGGCAGCTTTTGCTTTCACTTTTTTAACCTTTCTGTGTATTTTAATTTCACTGCTGATTTTTTTTTCCCTTTTTCCTGTTAGTCTTTATTAGTATTGTAAATGCATTGGTGACAATTTTTGGTTTAGCTTTAATTTGAAATTAATCAAATAAAGGATAGTTGTTTTCGTGCATATAAGATGTTTGTGAAAAGCCTTAATGAAAATCTAAATACAAGTGCCTAATGGAACAAGAATTCTTTCCATGTCCTATGATATCGTTTGTAAGCAGGTTCCAACAACCATGGCTTTGTTTTTTCCTTCATTTTGCTGATGTTTCTCTTTTATGTTTTCCATTGATTTTACCTTTTGTTATTTCTGGATTTTAAATGTTCTTGGTATTTTTGGTTAGTGTTTGGGAATTCTTCCTCTCTCCTGTTAGTTCTCAAAAATGCTTGGACATATGAGGAGAGTTTTGCTTTTCATATAGGCTTGCTTCTGAATTATTATTGTTATTTTTTTTGCTTCATGTACTAGTGCATAAATTTCTGAGTTGTTCAATCCTTTTAGATAGCCATGGATATATGTACAAGGCTGAAATAACTCCAAATAGTATATTTCGGTCAGGAGATGGGCTGGTAACTGAAAAGTCAGATATACATAGAGGGGCAATCAAGTGCAACCTAATAAAAAATTCAGTGAATAATATCTGTGACGAAAAGGTAATTGCATGCTCCAAAGTACACCGTTTCATATGCTGGATATTGTTGTGTTTGTTTCTGATATCAAACATATACTGAACTTTTTGTTCTTTGGTCTTCAGAATTAAATGGCTGCATAAGCATTTCAGATTAGTAATGATCCATTTATGCTCCTCTAGATTCTAAACAGAGGAGCTGTAATTTTAGTGTAAGTGAAAAATTATAGTTGTATTTCAGTTGCACTTCTTAATACAACATTCAATATCTAAATAGTATGGACAAAATTCTTGGACAGCAATTTGTTCTTAAATATTATTCTTTGAAGATAGTTTAGACCTTGACATGTACTACATCCCTAAACCATGGTGGTTTTTTGTTCCCAATCAAATTAATGTTTTTTGCCAATAAGGTATCGATAGAAGCACCATCATAAAGGAATCTAGAGAAGATGGTCCTTTCAGGTTAAATAAATTTCCTTTTAATTAATTAAGTAACTGATTAATTCAAGTCAAAAGATACTTAAGTGTCTAATAGAGAAAATAATTCCTTCCTATGTCATTCACTGCTCCTCTGATGCGAAAGTTAGCGCTGATCTAAATCTTTCGTTCAGTTCTACCTGTGAGATTATGTGGAATTAATTCTCATGGATTGGTAAATCTTCTGGAGTAAAACTTTGAAAAGCTTCTGCAACAGTTTAGTGGAGTAAAAGAGGTGCATCGTTGGTTCTCAATTCTCATTTTTCATTGTTTACTTGATTAAATTGTTTAAATGTGTCTGATGTTCTTCAAAGTTTCTTAGCACCTGATATCTCCATCCATCACTGAATTTTGCGACTCTTTGCTTTTGATTCATGCTTTACAAAGCATACTTGTACAATTTCACATAGTCTACATTTTCCTACCACTGCCCGCTGCAATTGCCACTATCCAAAGCACAAGCCGCGATCCTTTTCAGGCTCAATCTCAGTCCTTATGTCAATACTGTAATTACAAAAACTGGTCCAATCCTATGATTTCTACTTATTGAGTTACTACTATTATATCTGCTTAGCTATATGTAAGTATCTACCTAGAAATATTGCTGACAACCTATCTATGCATTAATGTATATAGTACAATCTATATGCTACTTGCAATGCAGTAAGATGACCTTGTGATTACCATATTACATACAAATATGCTGTTAATATTGCGGACCTTATCTTTTGTTCATGCAACAATCCCAATATCCCATTACAGGTTTCCCTATTATAACAACCACATAGGGCAACTCATGCAATGCGTGAGTAAATAAAAGCAGCAAAACTGTAAGGAACAGTGATCTTCATCCAGTTTCAAGGTTATATTGGGTGCACTGGTGGGCTTTTCTGTCTTTTCTTGTGCACATTCTTGGTCTTTCACACTTTTCTTGCTGCGCGCGTGGCAAAGATACAGTCCTCAATGCTGCATCTCTCTTGTTGTGACCATCTGATTTTTTCATTGGCTAAGTGATGTCATTGGGTATGACTTTCCTCTCTTCTCTCTCTTCTTTTCTCTCTCCTCTTCTCACTCACCACCGCCCAAAGCGTCAAATGTGCATCTTTCCTCTTCCTTCTCTTCCCCTCCTTTCCTCCCACTCCGCATTCAGATGAAAACTGCTGGCTATAGAAATATCTCGGTAAGGTAGAGAAATATATCTTCTCTGAGTCTCCATGTTTTTTTTGGTGTCGAATTCTTATTTGATCTTGAGTCGTGTCTCTATCCTGTTTGTTTGAATTATCAATGCCAATGGGAAGAGATCTAGATCATTTTTCTTGTTTTAGCTAGGATCAGAAAACTGTATCAAATGGTAAGAGTAGTATCTCCACTTTCATCCTCCATCGTATAGCTTATGTCATTGTCATTTAGAACATGTATTGCAAATTCATATCTTTCATTCAGGGCAGGTGTTGGATTAAATGATGAATTTTTTTGTCTTTATTGATAGCTCGTTTATTAGGAGATCCAGAACGAAGCTAGAAAGTCTCGATGGAAGATAAACCAGGGAATGTTGTATTGAACAGGAGAGATTTCAACTTCGAAGGCTTGAGATCTCGACAAGAAGAAGGGTTTTATCGAATTATTACAACAACTGACTGTCTGTGAATCTGTATCTGACAAGGACTTTGAAGAACGATATCAAGAGCTTGCTAAACATGGTGATGAGCATGTATATGTGTAATTGAAGATCGACATAGGTGGGAAGATTGTTGCTAGTGGAAGTGTTTTTATTGAAAGAAGTTTATAAGAAACTGTGGCAAAGTTGGCCACATTGAGGATGTTGTTGTTGATTCCTCAATCAGAGGAATGCAATTAGGAAGAAAATTGTTGGGTTCCTCACTGACCATGCTTGTTCAATGGGTTGCTATAAAGTGATCCTCGACTGCAGCTTGGAGAACAAACCTTTTTATGAGAAGTGTGGGTATAAACAAAAAGAGGTTCAGATGGTAAAATACTTTATCTGAATGCATCTTTTTTTTTTTTTTTAAAATAAATTTTGGGGTCCCAATTGTACTAGCTGATTAAAAGCTAACACACATTACAAGTTCTTTTTTATCAACTTGTCGCAGATTATACAGTTTGCTGTTTCTTTTAGAGCATAATTATGTGTGTGCCAATCAAGGGATCTTGAAATTTAATCTGGAAGTTCATTAATCCATTTGGTATTCTCTCAGATTTGAGCTTCATCTGAAAATGCTTATAAAACTTCATCTGAAAATGCTTATAAAACTGTTGTACCAAAACATTTTTTGAAATTAAAAAGCACAATGCTATAGGCAAATTTTGATGTTCCTATATTTGAGCGGGTAATCATTAGTCACGCAAGCCCCTTTTCAGTTGTAAATTACAAATTGACTGCATATAAAAGCCTCGACAATGTGGCTGTAGAAAACAAGCCAGGCACTAGTCTGTAGCCAAAAAGTGGCTGGTGCAAGAGGTGCAACTCTTTTGTGGTCAATTCACTGTCAATGTTCTCTGAATATCTACTTTTGCCACTCATAGGGAAACAATAAACTTCGTATGAAAAGGAACTCCGACAAGAAGTAGGATGAAGACAATATAATTACATTTGACAGCCATTAGAATACATAATCCCAAATATTAACTGAAGATAAAAATTGTAAATCATCTGCTTTAACACTTTGTTAGTAGGTCCTTTGATTGCTTCTGCAAATTTGATGAAGTCTTTCTGTCCTTCAACTGGAAAAAATTCATGCTTTTCAGTCCTTCAACCAGGAGGCAGTTTTGAACTGAGCAACGTAAGCAGAAGATCAAACAGGAAGCTATCATAGACGATCAAGAATCTGAGATTGCAAACCATTAGTTAGCTATTGGTTAGGTGACCACATAAAAAATGGGTACCTGCATGCGAATGTGTGTGAGAGAGAGAGTGAGTGTGAGAGAGAGAGAGAGAGAGACCAAATTTGCAGCAATCAGGCAGTAATATATACGTTGCTAAATAAGTAGTCCTTTCTGTATATACCAGATGTGATTTTGAACAAGCAGTCCTTTCTGTATTAGTAAACAATAACTCTCATTTTGGCATATTTTTATAACACCACGATAGTTCAAGAATATCCAACATGAGCTAGGTGGTCAATATCCAAAACGTTGCCGGCTTGCCAAAAAAAATCCTAGGTGGTCAGTATTACAAATCTTTACTAGAAATGGCATTCCTCAACATATGTTGTGAAATAGTGCCTGAGGATGTTTTTTAGCATGGCAGGCAACCATGAATGAGGCTTCTATCCCAGAATACTCTACCTCCACATGATGCCCAATAATTCCTTCCATTAAATGAAATAACTATTGGAGATGCTTCCATAGCATTACAACACCCAAGCAAGGGATAGCCAGTTGAGAAAGAAGGCCAAAATACACTCACCAGTGTCGGATATACTGCAGCAGCCATCCAAGTAGCGGAATCTGATAGAGAAATACCTTAATAGATGGCCAAAATCCACTGAGAGGATAAATATCAACACATAAATGTATTAGTACTAGTTCTTAGAATAGGACTCAGAAAATAAAACAAAGTACGACAATTTAATCAAGGTATTATCATTACGAACTGACCCAAAGAGAAAAACGCAGCCATACAATTCTGTGATTATACCAGCTATTGGCCAACGAACAAATATGAGGAACATCCCAAGAAGAAATGAAACAGATCCCTGAAACAAAAGATGAAGAGAAAACAAGTAATAACATCCAATTCTCTTCTTTATTTGTATGCTACTATCTTGAAGAATCAAGGAAATCGTTCTAGTAAGTTTTATCGTGCTTCTGACTAGCATGCGCAAAGTATTTCATTTAATTGTCAGAAGAAACACCAAACAGATCTACATACTGAAACAAATGCAAGATAGTTATAATGCCAATAAAGAATATGCAGAGAAGGTAATCAAGCAAACTCAAGTAAGATCTTTGCATCGTTCTCATCAAGACAAAGGCTGTTGGCCTCATGAATACCTTATAGTTCCTTCTGTCTGTAAAAAGTTGCAGTGTCGACCGCCAACCCAGTAAAAGGGCAACACCTGCCCAACCATAATATCTACTAACAAAGGCATGAGATGGACACAAGTAATTTTTTATAGACTCAAGTAATTTTTTATAGACTCAAGTAATTTTTTATTCTATACTTGGATATCATCTAATAAGCAAATCTTAATTACAAACTACTCTCTTACATTTCCAGAGCAAGCAAACCCCTGTCAAAAAATAGAATGATGCCAAGAAATGAGAAGAGGATCCCAAAACCAACAAGACCTATGCCAACCTCTGCACAAAGAAAATCCCATGATGGAGATGTTAGAAGCCCACTTGAATTGAGCAAAATGTAAGACATGGCAGGAAAAGGAGAAAAAACTAGAATTATTATTTATGACAAGCAATTATCCACAGATACATATAAACTGCAAAAGAAAAATAGAACTACCATTTTGAACATGCAACTATTGACAGTTCAACTCTTTAACATCTACCAATAAGGCAAAATGAACTTTAACAGAGTTGCAGTCAAACTTAAGCTTTACCAAAGGGTATTGTGAACCAACGGAAATTCAATTTCACACTCAAAATGCCTTGAAGTTTCAATGAGCATCGTTTATGTCAAAAGTTAAAACTATCACAATATTTCTGCCAACTACTGTACCAATATGAACTTTTCAGGAGCTTTTGTCCATGAAAATATTGATGTCCATATCTACCCATGCTTCGACAAGATTTATTAGGTTACTAAAAACACATCCAAGCTCTTTCATTAAGTGAGAACATTTAACAGCTCTCTTCACCACTTAAAAGTCACTTCAAATACGTTAAAGGGAGTTCAGTTTATCTTAAATTCAAGGAACTTGTGCGTGCAAATAGTCACCTTCAAATCAAGTTAGATGCACTATTTACAGAAATTTTTGTTTCTTGTAGATGTACTTGGTTCTACTATCTTTCACCACCAACCAGGTTTTCTAATCAAAAGAATCAAATAACTTACAGCAGTCCTCTCTCTATGTGTCTCAAATGAAACTGACCAATGAAATGCCCCTGCACCCATCCCACCCCAAATTTATGAGCTACAAAAAAAAAACTAAAACCATATAAAGACGGTCTCTTCTCTTTTGTATATGAGAAAATTAATGGACACTGTCAAATTTTGGGATAAATAAAAGTTTTCTTTGAAAATGAATAAACACATGCGAACTTTGTGCATGTTGCTAGTACCACCACCATATGTTTTGGCAAAGGTCATGTAATGAATACATCCCCCCCCCCTCTCAAAAACCCCCAGAAAATTAAAGAAGGAAGAAGAAAAGAAAATACTATTACATCGTTTTCTTTGTGAAACAAGTCACCTCAACTATACCCCTGTTCAAAGCCTCATTCTAATTGACAGAATAGACTCCAAACCAGTTTAGTAACTGTTTGAAAGATTATGTACATTACCTAAATGGACTGCAGAGTATCATCAAAATTTTCAAAACCTGCTAGCTAGTTAGTCCAAAACATACCCACTTTATGGCCATAATTGTACACCCTAATCCTATAAAACTACACTACACATAAACCCAAAGTTGAAACTTGACTTAGCAAATATGCCGCACATGATTTGCTCAAAGGAAAGATAAAATTCCAGTGTAGTAAACCAGCATCTAATTGTGGATCAAAAAAGATGCTACTCTCCAGTTAGGAATTAGTCTTCTACTTCTAGTTACAAAACATGAAGACTTGTCCAATCTATTGATATTGTGAATGCAGAGAAAGGATGTACTTTGCCAACAAAATTGTAAGTACTAAAAAGAAAATACCATAGAAAATAGACAGGCTAAGCAATGTTTTTATCTGGAATCAAAAAGCTTGATAAAGACTCTTCAGTTAGGAATTAGTCTTCTACTTCTAGTCACAAAACATGAAGACTCAAACGTCTATTGATATTGTGAAGCAGAGAAGGATGTAGTTTGCAACAAAATTAGGAGTACAAAAAAGGAAAATACCATAGAAAATAGACAGGCTAAGAGATACTTTTATCTGGAATCACAAAGCTTATACCAAGTTTAGACTGCCAAATGTTCAAAATGAGAAAAGCAGCCAGATGTAGAATAGATGAAATTTAAACGTATTCAACAATCAAAACTTACTCTTTTGCTCACTGATTTCATAAGCCATCTGCTGGTGCTAAAAATTGTGTTGAAAGCAAAACAAAGCTCCTTCAAACAAATTACAGGTGTAAAACTTCAGTAGAAAGAACATTATTCAACAAAACTAGGAAAACACATATTTAAAGAACAAGAAGTCATTAACCAACAAATGTTAAGCAGACAAGATGCACTTTAAATATAACATTTACTGCTAACTGTCACTAGTAACACAGAATGTCCAGAAAATATATGCTTTCAAGGTTAAAGAAAAAAAAAGAAGTCCCAGTCACCCATACCCTTTGTTGAACCTAAATTATCTCCATAGTTCACCAAATACTTCTACTAATCTAGTCATAGGAACAAATAACAGAAGCTAGTGACTAAGCTAAACTTGACCAGAAAAGGTCGAAAGACTAGAAATGCATGGAGCAATTAAATGAAAGCAGAATTATCTTTTTATCCCTAGTCTCCATCTTTCATGGATGGCAAGAAGTCTCACTATCTTTACACTTCCTACTGCCCAATTAGATGCACCCTTGGTTTCAAAACTTGGATCATAAATAAAAATTCAAGAATAAAGATTTATAACCACAAGAGTGCTTAGATTTCCTAGATGATTGAAACATAACAACAAGATTTCCATCAGATTAGAGTTTCATCATTGTGTTCTCTAAAAGTAAACATAGGAGAAATTGGGCAGAGGAGTATCAGGTTGCTGTTAGAGCAGTCAGTCAAGCTTCAGCCATAATAGGGGTGTTCAATAAATCACCCAACAAGATAGCAGACCAATTAAACAGCTTATTCAAATTTTAGAAGGTGAGCTAGAGTTCTTTGAAAATTAAACATTAAAAAAAGAAACGTTAAGAAACTTCAGCACTATGGAATGGCAGTTTTGCTCCTTATGCAAAATAAAGTAACCTTGGTGCAACTATATTTATTGACACGGTAAGCTGGGTAATATCACACAAAGAAATTGAAAGTATATGCAATGCACTTATGCATGAGAGGATACATATCTCAAAAAATATAAGCCACCTTCAAGAATACTTGTTTAGCATGCAGAAAATGAAGAATTCTAAGCTTTAACTGGGTCCAAGTCAAAAGTGGATTTCAATTAACCTACTATCATAGTATGCAATTTATTTGAAGTGATCCACGTTGACTCCATGAAAATCAGAACCCAAATTCTGTTTGAGCTAAAAATAAGTGTATTTAGATACTAGAGGTTTCTCGATGTCATATCCAACATGACCCATTTAGTAAACTATTCATTAAGACAGATAAGAGCCAAGTGGTTGACAGGAATAACATGAATAACTCGTCAAGACAAACTATTGACCCATGCCCATTTCATTGGATGTAGATTTTATATTCAAATCTTCTCAATATAAACATTTATGCCATAGCTCCAAGAGGGAAAAAAATAAGGATTAAGTAGCTAGCTATTGCCAGAGTTATGAATAAAATTCCATGCTTCATCATGCTACCACAGTCTGGAGTCTGGACACATAAATAAGGGCCTAAGGCAAAAAAAAAAAAATCTTTCATCAGCTGGCTTTCATAACAAATGTTCCGAAAGTAAAATCCATATCAGTTTACATCACATGATGACATGGTTCCTACAATATTGCCAATGTCTATATGACTAGAAAGACTCTCTTTCCTGCTGAAGCCCATCTATAAAGTTCCCTAATTTTCCTAGAAAATATCCATAATATTGCTTATCCGCAATGACTACATAAATTGATCATCCTTTCAGCATGTCATCAAAATCAAACCTTTTGTCCAGTTAGGAACAATACAAAATCTTGGATACAAAATAGTCCCTTTTACAACTAACAACAATATAACACCTTCAGATCAATACTGCCTGCTTATTTTTTTTTACTTAAAATTGAAGCTTGCTTATTGCTCAAAATCTATCTATACCAATCCTTCCTCCTATCCCAGCTCTCAATACGAAACTTATCGAAAGCAACTTTGGACATTTATATCATACAAAACCATAAAGGAACATATATGTAGAATTTCTTGAAAACTTTATCATGCACTTTTCCATTTTAAGCAATTTAAAGAACTACAGACAGTGATATGCTTCTGAACCCATAAAACTTTCCGATCTTAAATACTGAACCTGAAATTAATAATGATCGTTAACAAAATCTGAAGTAGAATTCAAATTGGGAATTTCAATTTCTTTTCGTGCTAGAATAAAAAAAAATTGCAATAGATTCAAAACAACTGAAGTTATTAAAAAAAAAAAGTATACATATAATCAAAAGGAAGCTCGGGGGTAAATAAAGAACGGAAATTCGTACAGAGGAAGAGGAAAAACAGAGGAAATTCTTCAAAATTAGGAGCATTTCATATAAATTAAGACACAGAATTACAAGAAAGAGAGAATTACCTAGGTTTTAAGTTTTAACCTTTGCTTCCAAAGAGAGGTTTTGTTAAAATTTTGAAAATGTTGGTTAATTTATAGTTAACAGGGTTCGCCATACGGATTATGGCCTAAACGAGGTGACTGGATTTGGCCTGCTAGCATAGTTATTAAATCAAGCCCGAGGAGGAACCGGCGAAAGAGGTGAATTAACGAGTTATCGATTTATTCAGTGGGTGAGTTGTTGAACCGCTCTGGTTGAATCGATGGCCCATTAAATATATTTAAAAAGTATGTCTCATAATTTTTAATATGGTTGACACTATGATAAACTATACCATAGTAAGTGCTCATTTAATCTAATTCATTATAGAATCATTAATTTTTATAAGAATCAAGAAAACCTAAATTTAATTAGTAATCCACCAAACTTCAAGTATAAAATTTTATCTATATTTAGTGTAATTATTTAGTTTATTTATGAATAGGGCTACATATGAGTTAAGCAACTCGTAAGCAATTCGAGTCGAGATCTAGATGACCAAGTCAAGTTTGAAGTCAAACTCAAATAAGCTCGCGAACCAACTTAATTATATATATATACATATATATATTATTTTAATAGTGAAATTACATATATATCTCTAATATTTTACTATTTTTAAGAAAAATTACTATTTGATTCATTTTTTAAAAATAATATTTTTTTTTTTTTACTTGAGCTCGAGTTTGGCTCAGTTTGAATTTGAGATCGAACTCGAACTTTACATTGAGAGCTCATCAAACTTGAGTTCGATAAAATTAAGTCGAGACTTGATTCGGACATGTGAAAACTTGACTCAATTCAGTTTGTTTGCAACCCTATTTACGAATTTTAAGTGCAAAAGGTTAATAGGAACGATATTTGCCTTTAAAATGAATTGTTCAATATGTTATTTTTTAAATCCATTTCATAACTTATAAAGTTTGGGGAATAATAAAATTTTATTAAAAAATTTCAAATAAATTTTTTTTTGGAGAAATAAAATAACAATAAATAGTCTAATATATAATATAAGAAGGACTAACAACCAACACATGGGTTGGTGGTCCAGCAGTGATTGCACTTGGCTTGCACACATGAGGCCCGGTGTTTGATTCACCATCCTAGCATCTCCTCAAAATTTTTCCCCCAATAACATGCTAGACTCAGGTTCCTTACAAAATCGGTGGGTTCACTAAGTTGATTGGTTGAACCATCGGGTTGAGTTGACTTTAATAACTATATGTCTGCTAGTACTCGAGTTCTTGGATAGGAGTGTAAATAAGTCTAAACATGCCGAACACATTGGCATTCAAACTTGTTTAATTATTTTGACGAGTTTGCAATTTTGTTCAAACTTTACTTCTTTGTTTCTCGAGCCAAGCAATGAGTCAACCTTAAATGAGTTCTTATCGAGTCGAACTCGAGTTGAGCTCAACTAGTTTGAATTTTTTTATTTGTAAATTTCACTTATATACTAATCGAGTCGAGTTCGAGCGAAACTTGAACGTTAATCAAATACAAATTGTTGTTCAAGCTTCGTTCGAATATCTGCTGAACCAAATTCGAATGAGTTCTTATCAAGTCGAACTTGATTCCAGTATTCAAAAGTTTGGTTTGTCTTTCAATCCTATTCTTGAATGGACTTTGATCTAGAGTAGATTTGGTTTTTGATTGCCATTCATATACTTTCAGACAATTATAAATCAGATCCTAACATACCTAAATAAATGAAGTGGAGACCAGAGAGGTTTTCATACGCGTATGATATCATTACATGGGATAGAATACGAATAGGCAAGAGACTAGAAAGAGTTTGTGTAGAATGAAGTAAAAACTGTATACTTCGTTGTGCAATTTTGAACATTGAAAGTATTATTAAATCAGTTGTAGTAACCCCACTTTGGATAGAGTGCAAATACCATTATATATATATATAGACACACACACACAACAACAAACTAAAGCTTTCATCAATCCACAAACATTATAGGGTTCCTGTCGGACAACATTACGACTGGATTCAGGCCACTATAGTGATAGGTGTAATTGTAGACTGCATTGGACGCGAATCAAGTCAAATAAGGTCAGCTCGATCTAGGCAAATTCCACTATAAGAAATTGATATTGTCATACACTATAAGAAAGGGTAAATTGCACTTTGGAGTTTAGACCCTTAAACATTAGATGCACTTTCACTTTAATCTTTATACTTCATTTTTGGACATTTTACCTTCTAAAATAAGAAATCCATCCTACTTTACTCCTTAAACATCGCTTTCGAACACTTGCCTCTCAAAGTATAAAATCCGCAATTATATTATCCGTAGCTAAAATACCACATTGCTGTGTGGAAATTGCACTGATTTGTACCACATTTTATACCTGCAGCTGATCACATTCTTGTTTGAACCAACACTGCTATAAAGATGTTTACCTTCCTCCTCTTCTTTTTCCAATTTCTCCCGCCTGTTGTTCGACCATGCTTATCACAGGACATTATAGGGTCAAGTCTTTCTCAATTGCCTTACCAACCTTGATCACGGTCTCGTTTGACTCTCCAAGATGATCAGCAACTTCACCTTCGTTGCTTGATCTCTTCCTGCCAGTTATATCAGCATTCTTATCATCAGGAACAATATCAT